TTCTTTAATTAAAACTTCTTTAATTGATTTGGTGATCAAAAGTCTTATTTTTTGGTGATCATTTCACTGCTAATAAATTTGGTGATCAAAAGTCACTTTTTTGGTGATCAAAACACATTTATTCCTTTTTGTTTTGTTCTAGTTTACTTTTATCTCTATGATAATAAATTATATCACTGCATAGAATAGGAAGTCTAATCACACACGAGATGAAGACATTTTTTTCTGACTATTGTCGCATTCATATAGTTGTCCATTCGCTACGAGAAGAAAAAGTATGATAACGCGAATAAATTTTATTAAGCGGCCTGCTTCCCGTAGACATGTTAGAATATATGAGTAAAAAATTCGCTGTGCATTCAAATAACCAGTACCGATCAATACTTCGAGTACTGGTATCAATTGTATTGGTACTACTGCATGCCTGCTCGACGTCAAAAATATCGCTTCCTACTCTTCTTCATTATCCATAATACTATCTACGCTGTTTATATCCATACCAGATAGTGATACATTGTATACAACAACAGAATCAAATGAGACATTGTAAAATAGCGCCTATGGGTGCGCAAAAAGTGCTGTCTGAGCATCGATGTAGAACTTTGCTGCAATTAAAGGGTGCTTGACTATGTACGAATGCCATTCGTACATAGTTTAGCTTGACTATGTACGACACTTTCGTACCAGTGGTACGAAAGTGTCGAATATAAAGTACAGAACTCTTATGAACAAATGCTGTATGTAAACGTATGTTTGAATATGACTAGTTTTTACTTTTTTCGCGCTGATTAAAGATATTCACCCTTTACTATTTCTACTTTTGAAAGACAAATTTTCAGCAGAACTGTAAACTGTTAATAGAAAGTTAGAAAAATTGGAGTAATGTTATTTAATAACTAGCGAACTACAATCAGCAGAAATAACATATAATGACAACTTCTTCAATTATTCGTCTCTTTGACTAATCCGACTCATAAAATTTTGTCTTAGAAATATGAAGATCATGCGTAAAAACTCTTTTCGAAATGTGCGTGAACTCAGTGTGTAAATAATAAATGTAAGGGCAAACGCGATATAGACGAGCAATAAAGATAATGTAGATATAAACGATTCAGCCGCCAGACGTAGCTGACTTTTAACGACATTGTTGGTAAATTGAACATAAGCAAAAAAGATTGGATTAAGCCAATTGAAAATAATAAAAAATATTACTTGAAACAAAACCATGCGACATAATTGAACATCTTTATGCTTAATCGAGACGGTTGAAAGATTTACGCTAATTGGAGTGACTCGGCGATGGATTTGTCGAACATTCCGAAATGTGAGGAAACCAAATATAGCCATGACTAGTGGTGGAACGGCACTGTACAGGATCGATGAGTAGATTGCATAGAAAATTCGGTAAGTATCGCATGTATAAGTACAAACGGCTGATTTGACATCGTTGTAGATCAGTGCATGAAATGATTGTAAGAGACAGATGACAATTGTTGTCGCAATTACACGAGAGGCAATCTTTTTCGAACTCCAGCGTCGACGTGTAGCGCTGATAGAAGAGACCAGAAAACGATCCATACATGCAAGACAGATGAACAGTCTTGGCATAACAATCACATTTATAATTAAATACGCTCGAATTTTGCAATAGAACGGTGACTGCGATGAAGGATCAATATTAAAACCGAACTGAAGTGCACGACTGAGAAGGCCAATGTTCATGGTAAATAAAACTGAAACAGCTGACGCCAAAAAGTACATAGAGCAAGGATTTGAACGAAGCGATCTGAGTGAGAAGACAAGAATATTCAAGATGGTGCCAATATTTCCAAGAATAAGAAACAATATCATTACATATCGGGCTAACACCTGTTGAGCTAGCAGAAGAGTGGCGATCATGTCAACGTCAGACATACTTAGACTTTCGAATGTTTCTTTACCTTCCTCTTAGCATAGAATATTCTAGCTATTATGAATGACGGCCATTTTTGACGCAAATCATGGCCTGTTTATACATTACGACATGTAGTGATTATAATAAACAAAAAAGGTAGTCTATATATTGAAGCTCTATCCATGTTTAAGTGCAACTATTTGTCATTCCAGCAAAATCTTCTGCTGAAAGAACGTCATTGTCATTCATTAAATCTGAGAGGTATTCATCACATCACAGTGTAGCAGAGTTTGTGTCGTTGGCAATTAAAATAATTTCGTCACGCAACAGTCGGATGAACTTCTCTAATTTCTGTCAGGAAATCTTATATAAATCAGAGAAAGACTTATTCGAGTCATTAGTAAATACTTCAACTTGTGTTCAAAGTGATGGCTTTGTTGAGACTTTTGGTTAGCATGCGATGTTCGTATAACTCTTTAGCAAAGTCCTTAGGGTTGTTAGACTAACTCATAAAATTTATCATATATTCGGCTGTTCTGTTCTGTTATTTTGAGTTGAAAATGTCTACATACACAAAAGAGGCTATGGTTCATGCAATGGCTAAAGGTTAAAAAAGAAGTTTAGAAGGACAAACGGTTGGTAAAATGAAGTATATGTATACATATACTATATAACTCGAATTTAACTTCTAACGAGGGAGCTATCCGAGGTGTCAGCAACCGTTTCGACCGGGGATATCATGGTTAGATAGGGTATAGCTAGGAGGGATATACCCTAAGTTGGTTCGTGCGCAAGTTGCTTCTAGCAGGAGTTATAAATTTTTCAAGTTATCAGCGAAATTTTCGATTTTTCTCCGAAATCTTAGTTTTCTCGAAAAAACAATGGTGTATTGGTCTGAAACTATTATTATGTCTATCTCAAACAGTGGTCTTAATCGTTCGAAAGTTCCAGTTGAAAATGATAAGAATATAACAAGACAGACAGTTTTCAAAACCTTCTTTCCAACTTTAAAGCTTTCCATGCTTCACTGCTTGGTAAACAAAAAGATCGTTTGAGCAAAGTTTTTCGGTTTATTCTCAACTTAAGACAGTCTGTTTATTCAACAAATGTAAACTCGTTTCCTTCTTCTGTATTACGCTTTTATGAATTTTTTCACTTTTCTTACTCTTTTAGTTTAATATTTCTGCATACAAAGGACAATATAGAGATTAACGCCATTCATAAAAGCATAGTTTATAAATCGATCAGAGAAGAAGGAAACAAGTTTACATTTGTTGAATAAATAGACTGTCTTAAGTTGAGAATAAACTGAAAAACTTTGCTCAAATGATCTTTTTGTTTACCAAGCAGTGAAGCATGGAAAGCTATAAAGTTGGAAAGAAGGTTTTGAAAACTGTCTGTCTTGTTATATTCTTATCATTTTCAACTGGAACTTTCGAACGATTAAGACCACTGTTTGAGATAGACATAATAATAGTTTCAGACCAATACACCATTGTTTTTTCGAGAAAACTAAGATTTCGGAGAAAAATCGAAAATTTCGCTGATAACTTGAAAAATTTATAACTCCTGCTAGAAGCAACTTGCGCACGAACCAACTTAGGGTATATCCCTCCTAGCTATACCCTATCTAACCATGATATCCCCGGTCGAAACGGTTGCTGACATCTCGGATAGTTCCCTCATAAGTGCCAAATTTTACTACAGTCTTTGAACCTGCAGAGTTAACAGTTTCTTCATAGTTCTTAGTTTTTCGTTGTTTTTTTGATCAAGAACATTGGCGTCTTGTCCTGAATCAGAAATAAAACCTACAATGTGCGAAACATATTTTCGATTTCTTTTCGTATTTCATAGGAGAGAGAAGTGCTTACTTTAACGGGAAGCGTTTCGTGCTTTAAAAATCTTCAAAAAGGTAAAAGATTTCCAAAGTAGAGGTGTGCACGGGTACGATTTTCATACCCGTACCCGACCCGAAAATTTCATTTTTACCCGTACCCGCACCGTATCCGCAACATTGTACCCGTACCCGAAAACGCAAACGTGCTAAAACAATACATATATATAACTTTATCTACCAAAGAAAAAAATAACAATAGACAATATCAGTTTTCATTGAAATTACGCAAGAATATCAGAGAATTAACAGATTCTGGACTTCATAATTGTCTCCGAGGCTCTAATATTCTTCCTGTTTCACTAAATATTCGTTCAGCTGTGGCTGAGCTGGCTGGAATTGCTAATAATGATAGTGCTAAACGTGATAATTGTTTATAAATTATTGAACGATCTTTCCACCACGTTAAAATATTTCCACCTTTTGGATAAATGAATTTTGTTTTAATGTATTCATTTATTCCATCATATGGTTCATCATCTTCGTCATGTGTTGAAGATGCGTCTTTGCTACCAAACTCTCGTAATATATCATCAACATTGAGTTTATCTCTTTTGGCTCGCTTATTTGGATTTCTTTTATGAGTTGGTGTTGTGGCTGTTGTTGGTGCAGACAGTGCTTCTTGATCAATACCAAGTGTTTTTATCATTTTTCTTACACTTGCAACAACTGCATTACGTTCTGATTGTGTAAAAGACTTAAAAAAGAACATGCATCTTACTCTCGATTAGATAATTAATATTTTAAACTTACAGATAATGATTTTGTTTCTGGATGTAAGAAGGAACAAATATAATGAATTCCAGATAACCATATTTTTTCATCCAGTTTTTGTAAAAGAATCCCTTTCAGTTTTGTTGTAGATAATTTTTCACTATTTCTTGTTACACAGCATTGTTTAAATTTTTTGAAAAACGGTAATACCAAATGTAAAGTCGGCGTATCATCAGCTGATAATACTTCGCTACCAATTTTGAATGTTGATAGTAAATCTGCTACTTCTTTGGCCAATGTATGATCAATATTATCAAGAAAATGCTCTTCATTTCGATTGAGCAGTATATCCTCTACTTCACGAAAATTAGGCCAAACCGATTCAAACATTTCGTACGTGGAATTCCAGCGTGTCTAAAACATTCAAAAATTGCACAAATTATTGAGAAATAAGAAAATGCTGAAGATTTATCATTATAATGTTATTGACTACAGTCTTTTAGCTATAAAAACTTATGTGACAAATGAATACTCACTTCACAATCGTGCTTTAAGGTTGTGTCTAATAAATGCTGAAGTTCACAACGTTTAACATGTGTTACCAACGTGCGACACTCATTTTGTAATTGGTGAATTTCTGGAGTCTTACTTTCTTCAAGTCTTAGCCCCCAGTAATTGCTAATCATCCAACTAGTTTGCATCTCTGTGACTGGAACAGATTCAATTGCTTGTTGAACAGTTAAATTAATACAATGGCAAACGTAACGAAGATGAGCTTCGCGTTTAAATGCTTTAACTAAATTTGCACCATTATCTGTTATAAATATAATGTGACATTTATCGGAATCAATACCGTACGAATTCAACGTAGCTAATATAGCATTCCATGTATTTTCTAGAATGAAACCACTCAATTTGTCAATCAAGCAGCTAGAAAAATTGTCTTGTGCGTGGCTTACCACCAGTTTTAGATGCCGTAAATAGCATTGTTTTTAACATAACATTCTGTATCTGTCCATTTTCGCCATAATGCATGTTAATTGTTAAATAACTTTCACAAGAATATTTATTTTTCCAGTAGTCACATGTGATGCCGAATAATTTAGCATTTTTCAGATCAACTTTTAACATTTCAATAAACTCTAACCGTTTTTCTAAACATAAAAGAAATTCAATTGTAAAGACAACGTTTTTAGGTGCGTTTATGCTCACCACCAGCTAATGAGTTAACACGTCGTGCAATTGTTGTACGATCCGGTAAAATATCTGATGCTATAATTCGATGACTTTGAGAATGACCAGCATCTAATAACGCTTGGCATAATGTTTGAAATCCGTGACCGTTCACGATATCAAATAGACGCATATCAAAATTTTGTGCATGCTTCAGTGACTGATCGTCTTAAATCCATTGAGATGTTGGCAGTTATAACATTTTTGAAATGTGTGGTTATCTTTGGGATAACAGCACCACCTTTACATGTTTCAACGTGTAACTTATGTGAATTACTTCCAGTTTTCTGTGCATCATAAGATAATATCGATTTGGATTTAATACATTGAACAAACGGAATAATCTTTTGTTGATCATCTTGGATACGTTGAAACGAATTCCTCCATGTTGCTGTGGCTGTTTCAGGTTTATTACAGGTTTGAAATAGTCCGTTGTCTAACTTAACTTTAATATCATTGAAAATATGTTAACTTAAATATCATTGATGATATTAAAGTTAAGTTAGATATAACTGCCAACATCTCAATGGATTTAAGACGATCAGTCACTGAAGCATGCACAAAATTTTGTTCGTATGATATGCGTCTATTTGATATCGTGAACGGTCACGGATTTCAAACATTATGCCAAGCGTTATTAGATGCTAGTCATTCTCAAAGTCATCGAATTATAGCATCAGATATTTTACCGGATCGTAC